GAGAGGTGGCCAACCCATGACCTGGCAGAGGAGTATGAAGGAGATCACGAAACGCTTGGGTGCTGTCGGTGCTACTCGCCTTCCAGGATGGGGACCGCGTGATCCTCACTGTGCCTGGTTGGAGGCACTACAAGGTATGGCTGCCAAAAGTCAGTGACGTTCTTACTGTCAGTTTCTATCCAAATTGCCTTAGTGAGTGTCTGGAGGTGTAGGCACCTCGGAATGATTGTAGTAAGGCAGCATTAAGTTCCTTCCCTGGCCACCTTTATTCTCCTCTTTACAATAAGGCTTTCAAATAAACCATGGTTGTACGCCAGCGAAGAATCGGTGGTGAGCACTGATGTCATGCTGGCAATGATGATGATGATTCCACTGCACTTTGAGGCATTTAGGCCATATTCTGTATTGCGGATAGTCTGATATCTAGGTTTTTCTCCTGAATTGCTTGTGTATGGTTTGCTTGTTTGGTTTGAGGTGGAGGGTGACCAATGTACTGGGATCAACTCAGCAGATTGTGGATGTTATAAACCAACGTCTATCGAATGTACTGTTACGGATGTTGTCCATGACTCATTAATGTTATGGACTGAACTCCGCTTTCTTTTGTTTCAGGTACGAAGCACTTATTTTTCTCATTCTGTACGGTGTCTACGTTGCATTCATGTACGTGAACCCGAAACTCGATGCATTCCTCAACCTCTGGTGTCGCCAGCACCCGAACTTCTGCCCTCGTGTGCATCATACGGAAGCCGAACAGCAGCAAAGCGTGCAGCAACACAGAGGAGGCTTTGCGCATACTAATATTGCTTGTGAGGACGAACAACCTGTTATTGGGCAATCAAAGTACGAACGCCTAACAGACATAGAAAAACAGGGCGACGTGGCAACAGAGCGTAAGTGGGCTTTTTGGAGGTCTGGATCAATAAATTGAAAGGCATTTCCACCTATGACAAGTTCACATTCCCAATCTTGCCGAATGTTTCTGTAAAATAATGCAGTTGATTCACGGTTGCTTTCGCTGAGAACATCCACCGTACCTACGGAATTCGTTTTGTGGTGTAAAAATTCATTATAGGATCCTCGTGTACACCAGTGTGCCCGTACTTACCTCAGTGTTCGGTCGCTCCTAAACTTTCCCGACCTTTTCTACAGTAAGTAACAAAAACAGACTGAGTGCGAACGTGCAATGAACATATTCATTTGAAAACCATCATTAACGAAGGCGTCACATGGAACTCAGTTGAGCATCCTGTAAGTCAATGTATTTCACGAAACTTGTATGTCATCTGAAATTTCATCTTGTCTCAGAATATGTAGTGCTTCGTGGCATTTTTGGTATGGACTGCTGTACAACACACGATTTAGTCGTCTTGCAGCAGCTCTACCGGAAGTCTGCTCCACTTGGCGGTATGGGCGGTCTAGCTTGAGCATACAGCGACTAAAGTAATAACTAACTTCTCATACTTCTGCGCACAACAGGTGTGTGTTGATTGTTGTTGAACTGTAGGTTTTCAAAATTATTTCGGCCGTAGTAGAAAATGCTTCCTCGGTCACGGTCAACCGTTCGGTGATCGAGTTGTGAGGGCTGAACTTTTCAATGCCGTCCTTGTGTGCAAGGAAACGTGGTTGTTTCTATAAATATAGAGATTCTGATCGGCTGAAGGATTGCGTTACTCTCGTCACATTTATATCGTAGTAAACAGCAAGCATACTTGTGGAATCTCTCCAATTTTAGGAAATTGGCTCTTTTTCGAGCGCACTTTGGGACGCCATGAGCATGAATGGTGTGCGAAACTTGGTTCTTATCAATCCAGGATCCATTAGTTTGTTTAATAAAATGATACGTGTCGTTCCTAATGCTGTAGGTCGGAGATTTAGTAACTACGGAGGTCCACCATTTCCAACAGCGAAAATAAGTTACTTTCACACAGAAAACGGAAGATTCCAGCTCAACCCATCCCTGCCAATAGAGACGAAGTTGATGATCATTACTAGTACGCGGTGGTGATGACAGCACAGAATAGTCGGAGATACCTCCGTCTAGATCAGGATAATGTAACACTCTCCTTGTGGTCCTGCGTTTTACTCGAGTCTCATTTTTGTGGGAGCTTCGAAAGACAACAACAACAGCATCGAAACGCTTGAACTTAAGTAAACATACCACTTAGTAGGGTGGATGACACAGCAAGCAGTGCTTGGTCTCAGTTTCATCTTGTGTTATTATTTGAATGTTGCTCGCATGACAAAGCAAAGAACGAACAAATGCTAAGTGAGATTAAGTGCAAACGCACATCATGCAGAAAGCCCGGTAGACTTGTTCGTTACTAACATTAACTTATTTTTGCTCCTTATTTTGAGTGCAACTACGGATTTGTCAATAAAGCGTGTATGCGCATTTAAATAACGTCTTTTCTCCGTAGATTAGGGACTGTGACTTCGGAAAAGCCCCACGGAGATATTCAAAGGTTTCGACAATATACACTCCGTGTTTGGATATAATCAGCATCATAAATCATTCGCGCCTGATTAGATGTGATAGTTGAAACGCTGGGCATCCGCATAATATGAAGCGCCGGTCAACTTTCCTTCGTACTAGTCTTGACTAGTTTGTTTGGATGGGTGTGCGTGAACCGTTGCGTATCGTCATAGTGCAACATGTCGCTTTCGCAGTTACGTTGTTAGTCTATCCAGTTCGCACTGCACGGAACAGGTGACCTGCATCATCATCATCATCGACAGCATGACGTCAGTGTTCAACACCGATGCTTCACTGCCATAGATGACCTGCGGTACCTGATAGTACAGTCAGCATCATGTTTATATAATTGTTAGTGCTGCTTTGAGAGTATACTCTAACGACTACTATTTCAGCTTCTTCCCAGCCCCTCTGCCTCCCTTACTTGACCAAACGAAGGCGAAGAATACAAAATAAAACAAGTTATATGTCGTGTTGCGCGACGTCGTTATCGCTGGGGATGGAAGGATTGATCATGAATACTCGCTCTAATGTATACATGACTTCGGTATATATCGCTTTCAGATACTTTTTTTATCAACTTATTATTTTAAATGAGAAGAAGAAGCCTCAAGAAAACCTAAGTACTCGTGGGTGGGTTATGCTGTTGTGAATTTGCTCCACCACCCTCTTCAAAACAACACTGAATGCTTCATCAAGGGAAGCTGAATTTTTCTTCACATCGTTTGAGTGGTCAACGAAGTGTGGCGGCCAATTCATGGCTTTTCGTCGAAGACAAACTACAGTCTCACTTTGACATTTTTTATCTTACCACTTTCTCTGTTCGCCATTTCATCAATTTCTCGGGGCTTAGATTTAGTCGTTTTCTGTCATGTCACATTTCCGCACTTTTGAGCCAACCATTTATGGCTCAAACATATTCCTGAGGGCACAATCCGCCACCAGCTAGATCTATTGGGATCACTTCCCACGGTGCACTGACCCACGGCCCAAATTCCTGCGGTTCGTGACTGCTGATCATACACACACTGTGTACGTGAATGTATGGATGGATTCAGCGTGGCTAGTGTGCCTCTAAGGTGATGCCGTATGTTTTTCCGCTTATCTCTTTCTAACTTGATTTTTCATGAATTCCGACTGACCAGAAGTTACCCGTAGACCTAGGCTAGTTTTTGTACAATAATACGAATAGATTAAAGTGGATTGAGCGAAGAATTACGCGTCACCGTCACGAATTCTGATACGCATCGCATCTCTCTGTTCATCAACTTCGATACAATACATTTCGTCGGATTAAGTCGTTCTGTGTAGTAGCGTTTGTCTGATGAATGATATTCGAACAACTGACATCGCGACCACCACCTACCAAAGACAAAGGAGAGCAAGCCGTTAGGTATTGGGATGAGTGCTTACCAGTTTCGCTGTCTGATTCCGGACTTCATTAATGGTTGTTCACCCGGGACAACTGCACACGTATCCAAGTCAGTCCTATCTATGCTGTCGAATAGACAGATTGAGGTGGAGTACCATGCATTTCCTTCCTCATTGATGTCGCACCCAATTTTCATCAAGTCTACTGAAATCGCACAAACTTGTGGAGCAACGACCAAATCCAAGATGATCGCACAGCAATCGGATAGGTTGAATTCGGTACATTTCGACCAGTACCTTTGCCCAGATAGCATGCGATCCGTCGTTCAGCCCGGTATGCCCTCTGTCACTGCCCACGAGACAGCTGCCACTTAACATAACATTTTTTGATTTTATGCAAATTTCTCTGTTAGACAGGATGTCAATTAATTATGGTGTGTTGTTAGAATAAGTCTATCCTCACCACACTCACTATCCTGTCTGATTTCGTTACCTATTCATCCTTTTGCGAATATTATTCTGTTTGAACCTGTTTTTATCAAAAAACAATGTTAAAAAAGTGTTTCAGGATAAATGCCACACACCGAATTTAAAATAAAACATTGGTTTGAAAACGAAGACCCAACAATTGGTTTGCGATACTGCTTGTGGGTTCTGATTATTTATGACCATGTGGACTGTAAAATCTATGCTATTTTATGGACGGCTTGTGTCAGTCAATCTTCGTTTTCCGAAGATGTTTCAGTTCACCTGGTTGTAGGATGCACATGAATGCTCATAGTCGTAAGTCTGGCAAAAGTATATATATATATATATATAATATATATACATATATATATCTGCTGCCTGCTTTTTCGAAATCGGATTTTGTTGTCGACGATGTCAGAACGCTCTGGAATTTTACATGCCTACAATCCTCTAGCGTTTTTGTCTCAATTACAAGCCTAATAATCTTTGACTAGTTGCCAAGTCATCACTCCAAAAGCCTAACTGTCAAAGGTGGTAAAGAAACCCCACACAGGCTGGCGAGATGACCTCACGGACCTCAACGTCATCAAAATGCCCACCCTGTGATGCCATTGAGCAATATCCTTTCGCTGTTTCAGAGGTTCGGTGACTTCTTCCATAGATGTGAGGTTGCGCAGAGCTTGCAACAATTTACAAGGTCAGGATCCAGTCAGAAAACTCCATTTGTGTTAGTCAGCAATGCAGATAAACCATCAGGATACTGCAAACAACGGCCACTTGACACAAGCTATTAACGAACCACTCATCGCCAGGCGACTTTGGTCAGCCAATGCGAAAACCAGAATGACGTCCAGGGAGATTGTTTGTACACTAGTTAAAACGCAGTGATTTCGCTCAATAAAACAGGAGTTTTCGCGGGCAAAGCGATGCTTTTTCTTGATAGATTTTCAGAGCCACCGTATGATGCCCCGTACCGGATACAAATGCTGTACAAGCTAGCTGTAGTTGAGCACTGAGACTTTTACAATAAATCTGGCTGGATATGATGTATTCGGAAGTAATCGCCTAGTGAAAAGTCGCACTAGACAAGCAAACTTAACATACTTCAACAAAGATCCTGAATAGCCTTAACCCTGGTTCCATAGATTTCCTGGAGTATCCGTCATAGGTGTATCCAGTACTTCGTTGTCAGTAATTGTCCAGTCATGCATCCTTCATCAGCTTGGATTCCAATCCTGACCTTCCTGTAAGCCTAGCGGTAGGCAATTTCAACGTTATGATTGGTTTTAGTGGTCTTGGGCAGTGTAGCACAGTTCCCTGCCGTTTTATTTTTGGACCCATAGTATTTTCATGGTAATTTCGTCAGAGCATTGCACCACAACCTTTCGTCCCACACTTTACTGGCGCTACTGGGCTGTTCACGCCGTGTTTCAAAGTTGGTCCTTTTAGGTGACTGCTCACCAGCGAACGTGGCTTACTTTGGTCATGCACCTGCTTCCTCAGACTTCTTCCTGCTTATTCATCCAAGCCCCTCGCCTCATTGTGAGTACATCGCTACCTAAACTTTGTTTTGATGTATGCTGTCAAGTCGACAGGTTCACATCGACTAACCTAAAGACACTGGACTATAACATGTGTTAAGCTCGTTATTGCACCTTCAAAATACCTATGCATTGAAATCATTTTGGGAAACTGTCCGCTTTGACATGTCTCATCAGCACTTCCTGGGGGTAGGTTCAGTGTAGGCGTTGATGTCTTTAACTCGTCCCTCTGTATGCCCCTCCAGCAAAACCCTCTCTTGACCTGATTGCTTGCCGGTTACTCGACCCAGTGATATGACGGCCCAGACCCGTCGAAGTTTGTTCTTTTGATATGCATTTCCTGGCCGTTTTGGAATAATCTACCGCCCATTTCTTCCTTGCTTGCTGATATTTTATGTTATCTTTGACGACTGTTTTGGATTTAACTTCTGGATGTCACGTTGTTTGACATTTAGAATCTAAATTTCGTCACACTGATTTCAAACCTCGTCTACTTAATCCATTTGGAAGAATCTTCGTGAGGATAACAGAGGCAGAGCTAGATCTGAACAAGTTTGCTATTAGACGTTCATTCCACATACTCGGCGCAGGAGCGTGCTCTGTGCATTCGGAACTGGAAGAAAGCAGTAGAATTGTCAAATTGCTGTTCCTTATACACACAGGTGACCTTAAAGGTTTCAGTCGAGGCTTCGGTCTCCAGTAATGAGCTTGACCTGTCACTATTTTGCAGAATTAATTCACTGGGCAAATGGACTGTACCTCCCATAATGGGTGTGTCATTCCCCTGTTCCTCGCCCGCTTCGTTGTTCCTTACTGGACCATTCTCTCTTGTTTTCCACTTCTTTTACGCAGATGATACCCATGTCATCAATTGGTTCAAGTCACGTTAAGTGAAGTTAAGTAAAAAAAGGAACTTTTATGCAACCCAAAGTAAATTTTCAGCCTACAAAATTACAGCGCAGCAAACATAAGCATGAACAATGGGAAGTGTGCATAAATCTAGAGTTACTTAAGGTTTATTTGGATAAAAGTCAACTTTTACCCATGTGTTGGACCATATGGCAGAGAATGGGCCCACGGTGGGAGGAAAACGACCACATACCAGTTTAAATTACACCCAGACGTAAGAAGTTGCAAGGGCGTTAGATAGCGTTGGATGGACAGGATATAAGAAATGCCGTAAGATCCTCACGAAAAACTCAATCAGAAACATTCTGTTAAGCCTAGACTTGACCAGGCCGTCACTTTTTCATTTTTGATTTCAGTGAATCGGGCTAGATGCTTTAAGGCTGGAATAATGGGGCTGTAGTAGTTAACGGCCTCAAGGAGTCTCTAATGAACGGAACAAACGAGTAATTTAAGTCGGATATAAGTCATAGGGGAAACAATTTAAGGAAATCTTGACTCAGTTCACAGGAGGAAATTTCAAAGATCCGCATTCCATTGAACCACCTCACCACAAAGAGAAGGTTCTACTTTCTTAGTATTCTAGCCTCTTGTAGGCGAAATAATCCACTGCCTTGAAAAGGTAGGTTCAGTGTTTGCAGCTAGAGTTTTTCACGTTGCCAATTAGAGGCAGGCGGTACTGTTCAGCCGGCAATTTCACAAAACAGCCATTCAGCGGAAGCACAAAGTCTTCCAGAGCGAAAAAGAACCGCGCGTGTATCTGTTAAAACAAACTTTGTACAATAATGCGACCAATATCAAAATAGAGAAAGGAGTTGATGCTGAGTGGGAAAAATAACGGTTTACATATGGTAGAGGCAACATTCTCAATACAATAGTGGTTCAGTAGATCCAGTGTAAAGCAAGTGTGTCTGATCCAGTATTAGATGTTGTTCCTGTTTCATCTTGATCGAACTTCTCTGATCTTTCCAAATACCGCTTTCCACTGGCAAACTTTATGCCTTTTTACAAAATATTGAGTGAGCAACACGAATCAAAATAGCATTATTGTCAGTTGGTACGTTTTACCTTCGAGGTGAACCTGTGAAAAGATAGATTTTTCTTTTCACTATACAGGGAGCTATGTTTAAATCCGACCGCAATAAATTTTCTACTAGAGTGCACCTTTTGTTTCTGAACCAGTTTGCATAGACATTCAGAACTTTGTTCGCTTGTCAAGCAGCCTGTTCCATTTGTTATTGTTTGTCTACTTGTGAATGTTGTATCACATTTACTGCCTCGTTATCGGAGTTTGTATGAAACAGAGTACTGTTCCGGGGAATATTCAGCATTCAAATGGCTGGAGACAGTATGTCCGGCAAAACCAGTTAAACGTGAAAACAATACGCTTTTCAGTTTTGTTTCCTTGGGTGACTGATAGTAACAGATATAGGGGATGTTGCTTCAAATATTTCACGTAAGCTCAACGTTTAATCGTGGCTGTATGCTATCATTTTTGTTGTCATTGCTGGCACGTAGTTGGATGAATGGGTCGCTTTGGTTAAGGAGGCAGATTGTTTTCGCGATTTCGTTCTGAACTCAATGCGCACATACTTCTGCTGTATGTCTGCTGTGCTGATTTTCCACGTCTGCTAGTTACCAGTCTTACTGCAGGATGAAGCCCCCTTCCTATCCAGCGAACATTATTACTCTTAAAGCCCTTGTTACTGAAATGGTCTTTGGAATGGATAGAGGGAAGCATGTGATGGGTTCGTGGATGCTAGCATGCATTGACGGCATGTGTATTTGTCGATCTTTTTAAACTCCTGAAAAGCCGCTAACGGAGGCAAACAGTGCACATTGAACAAACTGCGACTCCATTTTCACACGTGTGTGTGGACAGGTTATCAATATGACGAGAGTTGTGTAGTGTTATTACTATATTAGGTTGCTAATTTGTCTGGCCAGATTCAACGACAGATTGCGATAATGGTGGTCGAGCGGTCTCTGACGCACGATGAGCCAACTGACCACCGTGCATTTGCTGAACGACAGCTGTTTACGACTTGGTGCACTGATTGACCGATCAGAGCAGAACAAGTTCGTTTTCTACCGATTGTCACCAAACTTTTTTCGAAAACGAAGTTCATTTTCCATTTCAGTGATTGTTGTGATACAATAGACTGGACACCCAAACGGTGAGTGAACTGTAGGTTAAGTTTACCCTTGCCGTTGAGGTGACATGTGCTGTGACGCAAGGTCACTGGACATATGTTCCACGAATACTGATTACATCGGGAAATTTTAACCGTTCAACGCCGCAATGAGAACAAGCAATCTATTGAGAAAGGTACGGGGGATTTGTTCTGACATCAATTATAATGGGATGCGTTCCTGAAAGTGGTCAGTATATAACGAGGGATGAATTTTGCTATCCGTTTTTGAATATCATGGGCTTTATTCATAATCGGTTTTTGGGATCTAAAACGATTGGTGGATAGCTCTCCTGATGGACGAGGCGTTCGTGAACTAATTGAGGTTTCGTTGTTAAATAGTGGATGGCTGGTTCACTAAGCTAGAAGTTGATTACAGAATACGTCCAGGTGGCATCGAATAAGCCAACACTTAGTGAGCATTGATTGTTCCCCGATCAAAAGGCACTAGAATCACCTTCATTATGCCAAAATGACGTGCAAAACAAACTAATGTGCAAATGAATGTGTTTATTAAATTCTTTTCTGTTCGGAAATTTCTTCCGGCTGGAAAATTTTTCGATTAAAACGGCAATCGTACCGAAGAGAGGGAAAACAAAATTTAAACCACTCGCTCGTTAGTCTTAAACCGATCTAAAAAGTACCCCTGAATTTAGAGACAGTTATTCTGTAGAAAAAGATTCCTAACGGTCTGTGTGTAGCCATTTTCGGTCCCCAGTGGACCTTGTTGCTTACATGTTCTACTCCGTTACGTCAGCACTGGATGCAGGCACCAAGGCGAGTGGCGACTCCAAACATGGTAGAGTCGACAGTGAACAGTTAATCCAGCTTTTATCAATGCAGGCGATGAACAGGGCTTCGCCGAGCTTGTCGGGTGCCATTTTACTAATCGTATACATTCCATAAATGTGCATGGTCAGCTCAACTCTCCCTTGCTGACCAACAGAGGAGTTCCGAGGGTACCAACTTTCCACTTCTTCTGTACGTAGCGGACACACCGATTCCTGACCAATGCAGTTTGGACATACTAATTAGACACCGGGTGACCACGTGCGTCTGCCATTGCAACGTGTGCATTACATGAAATTGTCTCCCGGTCAGGGGAACATTTCCTCTTCATCATCATCATCATCAACGACAGCATGACATCAGTGTTCAACACCAATGCTTCACTACCGTACAACCATGACCTATTTGGAAGCCTTATTGTAAAGAAAAGAATAAAGTTGGATGGGGGAGGGACTTAGTGCTAGCTTAACACAAGCATTCGGAGGTGCCTACACCTCCAGACATTCACTAAGGCAATCTGGACAGAAACTGACAACAAGAACGCCACTGACATCGGTTGGCAGCCATATCTTGTAGTGTCTCCAACCAGGCACAGTGAGGATCACGCGGTCCCCATCCTGGAAGGCGAGTAGCACCGACAGCACCCAAGCGTCTCGCGATCTCCTTCATACTCCTCTGCCAAGTCATGGGTTGGCCACCTCTCTGTTTACGCCACTCCGAATTGGGCATGGAAAACAGTACTCTCTTCGGCAAACGATGGTTCTGCATGCGTAAAACATGTCCCAACCAACGCAGCTTCTGGTGCTGGACACATTTTTCAATGGAAGTACCCGTTACACAACCGAAAACACGCTTTCTAACTGCCTCGTTACGGATTCGCTGACACCAACCCACACGAGCTATGGTTCTGAGACAACGATTGTCGAACACCTGAAGACGTCTCAGGTCCGCTGCTCGAATAGGCCAAGTCTCACAGCCATACAACAATCACCCTTTTGGCAATATTATTAAAGCTACACAGCCGTTTGAACGCGTCAGCATAGATTTTAAAGGCCCACTTCCATCAACCTCCCACAACAAATACCTTCTAACAATGATCGACGAGTACTCCCGTTTCCCATTCGCCTTCGCGTGTACGGATGTGTCCTCATCCACCGTGATCAAGTGTTTTAATCAGTTGTTCTCTTTGTTCGGAATGCCCTCATACGTCCATTCTGATCGTGGTGGAGCTTTCATGTCAGGTGAAGTACAAACGTTTCTTCACGACAGGGGTGTAGCAACCAGTCGAACTACCCCATACAATCCGCGCGGTAACGGACAAGTCGAACGGCTTAATGGTACTCTTTGGAAGTCTATCACTCTGGCATTGAAGACCCAACAAAGGGACATTACCGAGTGGGAATGCCTCTCCCTGGATTGTAAGTGGCGTGTTCAGTGACCGCACGTCCACAAGCATTACCTTACACTTTGTGGGTGCAAAATGCGTACCAAAGGACGGGATGACTTTGGTCAGTTCATCAAAGAATACTTGCGCCTTCTTCTCCTCTTCGAACATGAGAAGGATGTCGTCTGCATATTCCAGATCGACAAGGCTTTCTTCACAGGCTATTTGCACACCAGGGTTTTGGAGACCCTCCAGCGTTCGTCTCATTATTTCATCGACCACAAAGTTAAAAAGGAATGGAGAGAGTGGGCATCCCTGACGGACACTGCTTTGTGTGCGGAAGCTTTTGGAGAGCCCTCCGTACACTCTCACATGTCCGGAAGTCTGAGAATACAAAGAACGTATTATGTTTACAAACTTCCGGGGCATTCTTTGGTGGGCAAGCGTCTCAAGAAGAACAGACCGATCAACCGGGTCGAATGCGCCTCGGAAATCCAGGAATACTAGAATCGTGGGTCGCTTATACGTATGGTGTTGTTCTAGCACCTGACGCAGTGTGAAGATTTGGTCAACACAAGCCCTACCAGGCCGGAATCCCGCTTGCTGCTCTCGGGTCAGCATCTCACGGGCCACCGTAAGGCGACGAAGCACAATTGACGCCAACAGTCTCGTTACAACCGGGGTCAAGCTGATCCCCCTGTGGTTACCACACTCACTACGCGCCCCTTTTTTGAAAATGGGCACTATCACCGATTCTCCCCAGTTGTCTGGGACAGACTCCTTTTCCCAAATGCAAGCAAACAGGTCGGACAGGCGCTGACTGAGGACTTCACCCCCGTCTCAGTGCAGTGCAGGTGGAAGGTCATCAGGACCGGGAACATTTCCTCTTCATTTTCCAAGATACCAGGAGGTTCACTTCTTTAAAAATGTCAGCAACAGTGCAGGTGGAAGGTCATCAGGACCGGGAACATTTCCTCTTCATTTTCCAAGATACCAGGAGGTTCACTTCTTTAAAAAATCCCTGTCAACAACTTTTTGGTGTTTGTCAGTTGCTCGCAACGTTCCTCTTTACAGAACCTTTGGCGAAATTGGGAAATTTAGACGTCTGGATTTGTGTTGAGAATGGAGTGCTTTTTAATCTCTTCCATTTTATCCACAAGTTTGTTTTTCATCTAGTCTGTTGTTGTCCTGTCTTTTTTCTCGGCGAAACGTATTGCCCTATTATCCGGCTGTTGCAGCACGTCTTCGTGTGCAACGAATTCTCAAGGAATCCTTTAGTTGACTCTTTAGGAAGCAAGTTTTTAACGCTGCTCTCAGCTTCACCCAATTCATTTCAACACCAAGGCAACAGGTACCTCATGTGTTCTTTCCAAGTACAAGCTACCACCTACTAGTCAGAGCTTTATCAATTCGGCGTTCTTTTGAATGGCTTGATTCCTGGGTGGTTTCATTCTCCCCCACCCGCTGCGTAATAATTTCACGTCCCATTTTCCTTGTCTAGTGTAGGTGGATCAATAATTTATGCTCCTCCTTCATTCTAAAACGCGTTAAAGAAATTCAACTCTATTCTGCAACACCACATGTTTTTTGCTGAAAATTCACGTCGTGGTGTAGGAATTTCCGTTGCACTCGACTTGACCGAGCTTGACTTGAGCGTAGCTTCTCTTATTGTCACTTATCAGTGCACTGAAGTGCGTCAATTCACTTACAGGCGTTACACTAAGCTATCGGCAGCTATCACTTTCCTGTGTCATTCATTCGTTTTATCGGCACTTACCGTCGGTCATATCTGTTAGCGTTCGATCCTACAGTCGTCATCACACGATATGGCACGTGTTGCCTCCGTCCAGTCTCTCGACTATGCTGTCTATTCAATACATACCAGTTTACCACACGAAACGGAATTTCCGTTAAAAAAGCCAATTAGCAGCACAGTTAAGCAGCCTACAATGGGTTGTCGTGCAGCGTTCACCAGTGTGCTGGTATCGTTTCATGCCGTCCGTTAATTAGTTGAATTACCATGATCATTTAATGTGCCTTTTGTGCGAGGTCACGCCACTATCCTACATCACCCCATGAACGTTGGTGTGTCCGGATCTGTGGTTGGAACTCAATCCCTACATCTCTGCTGTTGCTCCCTAGGCTTTATCGACCTTGAATTATCTCAGGTCTTTTCCCTTTTCTGGTACCAAAACGATGGTACAGCTAAACGATTATATTGTATTTGTACCAACAGTGGTCTAACCATTGAGTGCCCGCACACACACATCTTGAGCTCAGTCGAATGTGAAGCTTCATGCAAGCCCGTGGTGCGGATGTAGACCCGAGCGGACAAGATCAGAGGGTATACCTGCGGAAGTCTACTGCAAGCCATCGACTGGCCTAACCATGAGAGTGTAACAAGGGGCACCGGCGTCATCCGTCAAGTTCTTTAACTTTCACCGCAACACGGCTCGAATGACTCTGCAGGCTGCGCGTTACTTGCGGTTTTTCGGGTAGACGGACGATTTTTACGGTCATTCATTGATTCATTTTGTTAACCTGCTGGGCGATATTATCTGCTCTCGAAGATAGTGTACAAAGAATTCCCGGAGGCAAATAGCTTCAAGTAATATACTTTTTGTAACGTTTGCGAAACGTTAATAAAACCACATTCTTCGACCTTGTGGGCTAGTTGTCAACCTATTAGGTCCGAATTTGAAACGGGAATTCCCTGGCTCACTTATTCGCCAGCAGGGACCCTAATTTTTTTCCAGTCAAACCTGTATCAAAAAGTAATTCTGGGTGGTGATTGGGTACAAGACGCCGTTAAGATCACTTCAGTCTTATATCGACGCTGGGCTGCACCTGAACTGAACGGTGCTCACAAATCCAGTCAATGATTTTCGGAGACCAGGAGTACAACATTCACTATCGTGAATAACACTCACTGGTGGAGTTTCTCTCATATGAACAAAGCGACAGCTCTACGACACTGCTCATGAATATGATCAAGACTCATGACAACCCACCACTTGTTTTACGCTTCTTTATGCTCGTCTGATAGGCCTCATCCCCATGTCTTCATCAGTCTTATATCGTGCCTAAACGCCAAATTAGCTCGCGGGTGATTATTTGTCACCACAAAACAATCGTTCATATGATCGTTTGAACTATGGCACACGGATATTCACTATCGGAGGGGTAAGAAACACAACCTATCACGAATACCTGTGAACATTTTCCTGACGCATCCCTCGGGGTGTGTTTGAAGAAGACCAATAGTCGAAAAAGAGGTCACTTGGGGGCGAATATGGCCAGTCAGTGTATGCTTTTATGTTGCAGAGGTCTCGATTCGAATTATCACATCAGGTATATTCAATGGGCACCTCAGAGCTTTCCGGGTTACTACAATGCACATGGAGCGCAGAGTCATGTGGGATGAGTCGAAACCGGGATAACAAATATCAGAATTGATGAGAAGTAACCCAATCTCGACGGTCCAAGTGATTTGATTCGTTACGGAGCTGACTTAGGAAAAGCGGAAACAATTTACACAGCCATAATGTACGGTACAGTATGGCCAAGCCACACAAACGGTTTGATCGTACTAAACAGAACAATAACGGACAAGTTCTGCGTTGAAACGACTATTGTTTATCTTTTATCATTGATCCAACTCCGGGAAACGACGTATCTGAATGTTTCAATCCATGGTATCCATTTATGGCGGAATATTCGATAGCTAGACTGAACAACAGGCATTCTGTATAAAAGCCGGACCGAAAATTTGTGCGTCTATTAGTGTTAAATGCACACAACGGGAACTGGACCTCCAATAAAGTTTGTTAACTTCGGATCGCTATCCAAAGCCTGTGGATTACCGTAGAATCTCTGCCACCGCAGAATTTTGTAAACGATGAAGCAGACATACTGTTTCACACCACAATCTTTTCATTTTAGCCCTTGGTCGGGACTGTAGTTAGCAGCGTTTCGCACCCTATCAATGATGGCACCAGATGCTCCAATCAAGCGATCAGTGAATTCAATCGCACGTGTTTTTATAAGTTTTACCAACCTCTTTGAATTTTCTTAAGGGCTGAGTCGACTGAAATGAAAGATGACAGTTATATTTTCTGATGGTAGAGAACCTATTTCAGAAACAAGTAGCTAGCCTCTTATGTGCATTGTATAACCAGGACTCTCAGACTGACACGCCATCAGACATCTACTGCAATGGAAAACCACCAATGCTGTTTTGCTCTTAGGGGGGAGGCTCTAAAGAGCCCACGGCGTTCACTGACGTCGGAAATTCTGTGGCATCCTTTAGCATAATAACAAATTCGTGTTGTTCGTGTTATTGAGGTCATTCGAAAGTGCATAACTTTCTGGAGCTCAGTCAACAAGGTTGAAAGTGAAATACAGTCGTATTCAATCATCATTTGTCCTCTGTCCTTATCCCAAGTTGTGGAGAGTGCTCTCATCTCGTGGAACAGCTAATGACTTGTGAGTAGTTTCCCTTATTGAAGGTAATGACTTGTTTTATTTTTAGTGGACGAACCAATGGGCGGGCCCAAGAGAGTAGTGGACATTATGAAGGCCGCCAATGATTCCACGTCCGATTTGGAGACACAAATCTGCGACCCGGAAGAATCTTGGTTCGATACATGTTTCGCTCCACTACGTCTACCAAAGTCCCAAGGGGTCCGAGCAAAATTTCGCTTCTTTTACGCCTTGTCTATCTGGCCTTTGCGGTTTTTGTTATGTCTCACCGTACCCGACGTTCGAAAAGCGAAATGGCGTCGCAGCTCACTATCACACTGGATCTCGTTTGTAATGTGCTGTGTATGGATCGGACTGTTCACTATAGTCATGATGTGGATGATTTCCATCATAGGTAAGTCTGATATTTTTCACTTGTGTTAAGATATTTTAGATCACTGAGTCTTTTGAAACTCTCCCCGTATTTTTAGAAACGAAATCACATCATAAAATTGGAGATTAGTTGGAGTATCGAAAGATTATGGTGTGTATGTAGCGCTTTCTGTGTTTCACTTAGTGTCAGTAGCTTACGGAGGGAAAACGAAGGTTAAATTGTGCGTCCCCAGCTGGAACTCTCAGGTCGGGAACTTCTGACAGCTTTCCGAAGTGTTGACAAGATAACAAAATAAACAGGGGCAGAAGTGAACTGGTGCTTTGGTAGATGCTGATGACCCAAAGAATTTACTGTAGTGCAGAGTGTCTTCACCGATGGCGATCTACGCCATCAGTACTTCCTGCCCCACGATGACCGAAAGGGATAACACACTATTCATCAAAAAGTAAACAGTCCTGAAATCGGCACCCTACATATAGGCCTTCTGAAGCCTATTACCCCGGATGTTTATACTCAAGTAGGACTCACAAATGTTGTTAGAAGCTTGCGAGCGACATCCTTGGTCCACAGTGGAGCGGGGCGAAGGAGGACCACGAGCAAGTAGCCTACCTTCCTGCCATCACGATTGTCCAGTTGTTGTCCTCCCATTAGAATCTACGGGTACACTTTGTTCCCCTACAGCTTTCACCGTAGAAACCAGTCTCAGAAATTGGTTACGCAGCCGAGTGTGTGTGCATGGTAGATCTCGTTTCAACGATTCTTTCTGTGAACTTAATCTAATTTTGAATATAAATAACATGGACCATTCTTCCACGATAGCGGATATGTACAGCGAAATATTTCATGTTCGAATACCACCAGAAGGTAATTCTTGGTAGGACAGGAACACTTAAACCAGCATGAGAGACCGTCAGTGCAACACTTGCTCTGTTGGAAGTAATATAGCAGTAATACAGATATAGAAACCGAAGGAGTGTTGGTAATAACGTTTCCGATGAAACAACTACACTGGTGGGATAGCGGTAACACGCTCGCCTCGTATGTCAGATGTGCGGAGTTCAAACTCCGGCACGGCCTTTGGGTGCGCGCTTATGCTGAGCTCTAATAAGAGCGAAACGCGAGTCCAGTGCTTCCCTCCCTTTGGTGTGGGCTCACCAGAATGATCTCGGCAGGATAGGAGGACGGTTGTTCATGTGAGTATGTATTCTACAATATCCTGCAACCACCAGCACTATACTTGAAATATGGTTGAGATTTAGGCAAACAATAACGGATGATTGAACCATTCGGGACCTACCTTCTCTACATCTTGTCAAGGATTCCAACTTTGCTGTTCCTGGTTCCTCGTTCATACCTACAATTTCTAACTTTTGGTGGACGGTGGGCATGTTCCCTATTAAGCAATGAAGTACACAAAGCGTTCCGTCTTGAGTGGAATCGGTGGACCACGGCACCGCGCACTCACCAGCGGGCTTGCTTGATTCATATCTGCGCTTGTCTTAGTGTTGGAGATCTAAGTACACTTTTGGCATCACGTTTATCGACCTTCACCTTCCTAAGCGGTACTAGTATTTTTTACCTGTAAAACGTGGGAACTGCCTCAAATTCGTAGCGTATTATTCGTAGCTGGAATACTGCATTAACAAAGTCTAACTCAAGATGGAACAGAAACAAACTCGTCTAATTCTAATTTCTTCGGGTTTACCAACGAAACAAAGCACCTTATTCTTCCTTCTGTGTGCCAGCGTTACAAATGCGCGGCAAGCTAACAAACGTGTTAGTACCTACTGAGCTGTCTCGTGTGAGATATGGCAAACAAAAATCACCTTTTTCATACATCCTGTGAGCCTCCATAATTGACTTTTTTATTGCATTCCAAACTTTTGGTCGGTATGGTGGTGTTGTCGAAGATATACAAGACGCACTCCGGTTGCTATGAGCTTTCGGTCTTGTTTCAGCGCACGCGTCCGAGTTTTATTGATTCCCAGACTTTAAGTCACTTGCTTAGCTTCCGTTTTGTCGCGCTGTTCTCACCGTATTGGTAACAGGATTAGGTGCTCTTGTTTGTTATTAGTCGTGAAAAACATTAAAGGACCAACCATGAAAGTAAGAATTAAAATGCAAGTGTTTCTGGGGCTCAAACGATCTGAAGGTGAATTGTATAACCCTGTAAATGCATAAGAAGTTGCTATTAGTTTGCGGCGGACGTTTGAAAATAGAATGACCGGTTTGGAGCTAGTAAAGTTCATGGACTTTGAGCTGGTGTGGAAGTATGATCTGTTTTATTGACAGTTGGTGAAGACATCGGCCTGCTTGTAATCCAACCCACAGGCACTTCACAAGCGATCTTAGCTCACTGGTTTGCATCATTTATTAGGTGTACTATTGAATAACATCCACGAAGCCGAAGCATGTATGGATTTCTATCGGAAGCTGGTACATCACAAGAAACCATGGTAAGCTTGTTTTCATATTTTTGGGACGCATCTATCTTCTCAGAAAAGTATTTTACGAGTTGGGCAGTTCCCTTCTATGTTTGGAACCATGCTGTGTACGGAGACACTCCTCAGTGGATAAAAATGTATGTGCACCGTATACCCCCCTCAAAGTGAAACTGGTGAGAAATTCGAACACTTTCCCCTTATGAGAGGTGGTAACCGTTTGTCGTCAGTCTAAGATTACCTTATATATCGTATGACTCCATTTGGAAATAATTAATCAAAGGAAAAATAATGTTTAAATTTATCATGGAGTTTTCCGGAAGCCTCATTCCTTTGACTAAACTGTCAGAATCACAGGGTTTTTGCAAACAGCGGCAAGCACCTAAAATTGGGTTGGGGAACGATGTACGCTTGGATACTTTTCGTGACGTGTTTGGTAGCTGCTGGATTTTGTATCGTTTTTGTTCATTCAACGTTAGTCGAATCTTGTTTACCGGAAATTTTGCGCTGTTTTTTCTTCACGCTGTACACACTTGTATTTTGCGAAGTTTGGAATTGAGCACGTAGTTCACGGAGGCCCGTTCCGTAGAAAATTGATGGCTGTTAGAGCATACTCGTAGGGGAGACAGACCACAATGGGAGAGATAGTAGTAGTCCAAGAAGCTGGAATAGCTGGTTTGGAGGGTAAGAGGACCATTTGACTTCACAACGAAGGTAAATGCAAACATATCATAAATTCAGATTGTTTGGACAGGCTTGCGTTCAATCCGGGCCTTGAACCCGTTGTTTGGAATTATACTGTTGTTTTGAAATACGGCTGTGCTTTTTCATGATTCAATAGAAGCATGACATCATGGTCCTTGTAGACATTCACCTACCCGACGCATTGTCTTGGGATGGGCTAGAGACGTTTTTCTGCCTTATCCACGCCTCTCCGGAAGAAACTGTTATCCTCCGCAGGTGGTCTTCCTATTTGTGAGGCCAGAGGGTATAATGGGAATTTAGGAAGCCTAAATTGAAAAATACGCAAAACCCATAACAAGGTGGAATTGCAAAAGTGTGAGGTGTATTCAAAACACGAGCACAGTGGTACAAACGTAGTATGTATATACTTGTACCAGTGAATACCTCCATCGAAAACTCAACAGCCTCTCATGGTTTTCCTTCGAATCCATTGTGAATGTCCCAACCAAAACACTGCCCAAAACAGCACTGTAGTTGCAATGACTCAGTTAAAAAAGAGCTACAAATTGCAATACATCTAAAAAACTAAAATACGTTTAACAAAGGCAATCCAGCGAAAAAACCATTCTTTTTTAATAAAACAGTTTAACCTAATTTGATGAGACATTTAGGGAATGAATCGGTCGCAGAACCAAGTGCATCATGCGTCAGAATAACGAATGTATTCGATAGTAGGCTCTTTAATCAGCTTTTCGAAATGAGAGAGGTGTGAGCAACGGGATTTTCACTCCGTATTTCACAGACTAGCGATGTTGCCGTGATGTCCGCCCTGTCAGTCGATGCCCTGCTGTTTTTCACTTCGAGCATACATAGTTGAAGCAACTTTCAGTGGCCAAATAGTGTTTCATGTGTCTGACAGTTCTGATAGGGCAGTATTCATTATTTGCTGTATTCTCAGTAAATTGAGGAACATAAATATGATGCTGAACAGAACAACGAAACGCTTACTTCATTTTAACCAGTAACTGATTTCTTGTGTGACCCTTTCCTGTGTAAGAAAACCATAGCGGATAGGCATGTAGCAATCCTGTTTTATTAGAATTCCATTCCCCGAATGTGACTGCAAGGAATGTTGAAACAACTTTTCCAAAGGAGCTTTGGGTCGGCCAGAGTTAGCCGATATATTGTTGGCCTTGTTTGTTTCAGGACCTTGAGTCACATTGTTTAGTCTCAACTGGTATCCTCTAGGTTAAAGCTTCTGAATTTGCAACGAAACCCCGAGAAATTAAAATTTGTGGATTCGTTATAAGAAGAACACCCTTTTAGTTTTCCGTCACAGAAATGGTGGGTTGGTTTCCAACTTCCCTGTCACATCGAACTGCGTTGGCAGCTTTCTGCGCAGGTGGCAGGTGCTACCACACGGGGTTCTTGCTGACACGAAGAGACTGGACCTTATCGTGGTGTGGCGGTTTGTGTACCTCG